CGCGCTGGCGATGTAAGCGGACAGCCCGGGGAGCCGAGCCGGCACCCGCACCCTCGGCTGCGCCCGGGGTGGGGGCGGGCCCGGACCCGGGCCCGCACACGGTAAGCCGCTCGCTTTCGCTCGGCCTCAGGAGCCAAGGCAGACAAGACCGAGAGATACATGTCTTTTTTTAATTTCCTGCCATTCCTCCAAGTCACCCGGCCACCGCCGATTGCTGTTCTCTGCCCGAAGGATAACCCATTTCTCGCGCCGGTTCGCGCTCCTCGCCCCCGCCGCTTAGAATAAAACTTGGCGGTGCCGGGAGGCAGGTGGAGACAGCGCGCGCCTTCCGCGGGAGCCGGACCGTGGGCCGCTAGGCGCCCCCACCCCTGCTCCGGCCCGGCCCCCTGCCGTCCGCTCCCCATGTGAGCACAGCGGGCGAGCCGGGTGCGGAGGAAGAGGAGGATCTACGGGCGCCGGCCGGAAGGCCGCTGGCAGCAGGCCCGGGAGAGCGGCGCCGCGTTCATGTTCCGCCAGGAGCACCCGCTGGCCGAGGGCAGCTTCGCGCCCATGGGCTCCCTGCAGCCAGACGCGGGCAACTCCAGCTGGAACGGGACCGAGGCGCCGGGGGGCGGCGCCCGCGCGACCCCCTACTCCCTGCAGGTGACGCTGACGCTGGTGTGCCTGGCCGGCCTGCTCATGCTGCTCACGGTGTTTGGCAACGTGCTTGTGATCATCGCGGTGTTCACGAGCCGCGCGCTCAAGGCGCCCCAGAACCTTTTCCTGGTGTCGCTGGCCTCGGCCGACATCCTGGTGGCCACGCTGGTCATCCCCTTCTCGTTGGCCAACGAGGTCATGGGCTACTGGTACTTTGGCAAGGCGTGGTGCGAGATCTACCTGGCGCTCGACGTGCTCTTCTGCACGTCGTCCATCGTGCACCTGTGCGCCATCAGTCTGGACCGCTACTGGTCCATCACGCAGGCCATCGAGTACAACCTGAAGCGCACCCCGCGCCGCATCAAGGCCATCATCTTCACCGTGTGGGTCATCTCGGCCGTCATCTCCTTCCCGCCGCTCATTTCCATTGAGAAGAAGGGCGGCGGCGGCCCGCCGCCCGAGGAGCCGCGCTGCCGGATCAACGACCAGAAGTGGTACGTCATCTCGTCGTGCATCGGCTCCTTCTTCGCGCCCTGCCTCATCATGATCCTGGTCTACGTGCGCATCTACCAGATCGCCAAGCGCCGCACCCGCGTGCCGCCCTG